CATTCTGTTGAAAACCCCATCCTTTCTTCGTTGCGTAGAACTGCTATCTCTCAGAAATCCAGGGTCCATCCATGCAAGGTCTGATCCTGGTTTCTCTGTTCTTCCCCCAGCTAGCTCTATGAGTCTGTCCCTAGGCCAATGCTACATTCTCCTAATTACTAAAGCTCTATGCTTTATCATGACATAAGGTAGGGCAGATTTTTTTTACCTCTGGATTTTGGTTAGAGGAAGATCATATTTTGCATGGTGGGGGGCAGGGTATATACCAAAGGCATGGATCAGAATAAATGGGGAGATCCATTGTCGCCAGGTAAAGCGATAGCTGTGATTGGAAAGAACACTTAATACAGGATTGGCCAGAGGGCTCATGGTACAGAACAAAAGGAGTAAAGTCTTGGGGTGAAAACAGGACTCTCCATGATCCTTTGTTTTTCCTGCTTGTGGTCTTTCCCCCTAAAGGGAGGTCACAAGATTGTTCCGAATACTTTCCACTGTTCCTTGATCAGTCCTGTCTTCTGTATCCCCGCGTCAGAGCGCTGAAAGATTACTTACATCTTGGAAAATAATCATTAAAAGAGAAGGAGGATGTCTGGGTGGCTCAGTCAGTTAAGCATCTGACTTCGACTCAGGTCATGATCTCCTAGTTCGTGAGTTTGAGCCCCACTTCAGGAGAACACAAGCCCCTCTTCTCTCTCTCTCTCTGTCTCTCTCTCTCTCTGTCTCTCTCTCTCTCTCTCTCTCTGCCTCTTGCTCACTTGCACCCTCTCTCTCTCAAAAGAAAAAAAAAATAGGAAAATGCTTTCAGATTTCACCAAGGAGGATTATCACTTTGTACATCACAGAGAAAAGGAACTTAAAAACTCAGAGCAAAGTTCCCTGATTCTGATTATAGAAACAGCTATGGATTTCTCCACTTTCCTATGAATATAAGAAAGTGCTGTCCAAACCACACAGAATAAACTCTTAATCCTTCTTGAAATGAAATAGTCCACCTAGCATCTTTATAAAGAAAGGGAATAGCATTATGAGCGATGTAATAAAATAGAAAACACCAGAAAATCACTCCTAATGTGATTGAGCAGGGTTTGGTGAAATTGCGTTTCAGTTATTTATAGCATGAGTGAACAAATTCAAGATGCCAAATGCATTCTTAATGTAGGTCTTGTCAAAGATAGATTGTTAAATACAGAATTCTGACAACAGATCTAGGTGTCAGCTTGAGCTGGAGAAACTTCTGAACGGTCTGTGTAGAATTCTGTCCCCGGGGAGCCCTGGGCGGATGCTTTGGCCCTGGGAACCCACTGTGAGTAAGAGGTATGTCTCCACTGTGGGGTCTTACTTTGGCTTTCTCTTCTTTCCATTAGATAGAAAGTCAATAGAAGTCGTATTAGATAGGTCTAGAAGTGGGCCAGGAAGAGGTATCTACCTACTTTTATGCAGATAAATGAATTTAACAGAATTTTCCTACCCTTCTTGTTTGGTCTAATAAAATATAGATATGTATATATTTGGTCTTTGTCCCCAGTTCCTGGCACAGAGCTCCTAAAATCCTTGGCAATTCCTGAGGGAGAAGAAGAGTGCCCTGTATGCTAAGATGACTCAAAGTGGGGTCCCCTAGATCACTTCAGGATGGCAGCTGCTCACCCAGAAAGCAGCCAGGTGATCAGAAGGCCAGAACTTTCAGCACAGCCCTAACCCTGTGACCTCCAGGGAGGCAAGAGGGACCAGAGATTGTGTTCAATCAGCAATGATGGACAATTTAATCAATCATGCTTAAGTGATGAAACCTCGATTTAAATAAAGAGAAAAAGAGGGGCACCGGGGTGGCTCCGTCGGTTAAGCGTCCCACTCTTGGTTTCAGCTCAGGTCATGATCGCACAGTTTTGGGAGTTCGAGCTTGCATCAGGCTCTGTGCAGAGCCTGCTTGGGATTCTCTCTCTCCCTCGCTCTCTGCCCCTCCCCCGCTCACACTGTCTCTGTCTCTCTCAAAATAAAGAAATAAATTTAAGAAAAAAAGAAAAAGAAAAAAAAAGATAAAAGGAAAATAAAGTATCCTTTAAAGAGCTTCTGGGTGGGGGTGCCTGGCTGGCTCAGTTGGGAGAGCATGTGACTCAATCTTGGGTCTCAAGTTGGAGCCCACATTGGGTATAGAGATTACTTAAAAATACAAATACAAATACAAATAAAATAAAAACGTAGAGTGCTTCTGGGTTGAAAGACTCATTGGAATGTGGCTGTCTCAGAGAGGACACATGACATCTGTACAGACCACCTCCCACCCCCTGCACTGAAATATCTCTTCCCCATTTTTCTTCCATTTGACGATTCCTGAGTTAGGTCCTTTTTTTTTTTTTTTTCCCCTTAAAGTTTATTTGGAGAGACAGTGAGAGAGAGAGAGAGAGAGAGAGAGAGAGAGAGAGAGAGAGAGTGGGGGAGGGGCAGGGAGAGAGAGGGAGAGAGAGAATCCCAAGCAGGCTCTGCACTGTCAGCACAGAGCCTGATGCTGGGCTCAATCCCACCAACTGTGACGTTAGGACCTGAGCCGAAATCAAGAGTCAGACGCTCAACCCACTGAGCCACCCAGGTGCCCCCTGAGTTGGTAGGTCCTTTATAATAAACTAGCAATATAAGTAAAGCTAGGGGGCCATTTATTTTTATGTATAATAATTTATCGAGTGAGTCACTCCCGCATGTCACATAAGGAGATTCCTCTCAGAATTAGAAAAGCCCTCCACAGAAGACAAATTCCAATCCCACACTTATTGTCAAAAAAAAAAAAAAAAGGCAATTTTAGGGGCGCCTGGGTGGCTCAGTGAGTTAAGCGTGGGACTTCGGCTCAGCTCACGATCTCACGGTTCGTGGGTTGGAGCCCTATGTTGGGCTCTGTGCTGACAGCTCGGAGCCTGGAGCCTGCTTTAAATTCTGTCTCCCCTGCCCCTCCCACTCTGTCTCTCCTTCCAAAATAAATAAACATTAAAAAAAAATTTTTTAAGGCAATTTTAGAAAGCTTGCTTTGTCCTGCCTTCCAGTGATCAAAGTTCCAGAAATATAAAAATCACCTTCCTGTTACTGGACAGGGGGTCTTGGGACCTCGCAATGGTACCATGCCCTATTTGTCTTTTTTGTGACTGGCTTATTACAGCAGCGTGTTTTCCTCACAATTATTATTACTCTTATCCAAAAATGAAAAACAAAAACACAAAACCTTGACATAGAGTCACGATCTAGCCTCTTGAGAGCCACTTGATTAATGTGAGACTGAGGATTTTTTGTTTGTTTTCAGTGTATCTCCGGCCCCCTTGTTCTTCTGTTGCTCTTTTCTGGCCTTCTCTTGGGCTCCTCGTAACATTTGCAGAATTCTACCCTGATTTATATCGTGCTTTAGTATATCATTTTGTCAAAATTTGTTTGGTAGTTGCTCTAGATGTGACAATATATATACATAACTTCTCAATCAGCCAAGTGCAGAAACCTTACTTCCATTTACGACCCTTTGCTTCCCACTTTTAAAATGTAATTGTCTTAAGTATTCCCACTATATACATTGAGAACACCAAATGGTGTTATTTTTGCTTGCAACCATCGTGTCTGATGTGAGAAACACATAAGTAGGATAGTCTATTTTATAATATCCCTATTTTTACCCAATCTTTACCTCCCCCCAACCTTAAAAAAATTTTTTAGTGTCTAATTTTGAGAGAGAGAGTAAATAAATAAAATTTTTAAAAAAGATTAGAGGGGTGCCTGGGTGGCTCAGTCACTTATGCGTCTGACTCTTGATTTCAGCTCAAGATCTTGTGGTTTGTGAAATCAAGCCCCACATCTGGCTCAGTGCTGACAGGAGCCTGCTTGGGATTCTCTCTCTCCCTTTCTCTCTCTCTCTGCCCCTCCCCAGCTTGTGCGCTCTCTCTCTCAAAAATAAATAAATAAACATTAAAAAAAATAGATTGGAGATAAGAGGGGTGCCCGGTTGTCTCAGAAAAGCATGTGACTCTTGATCTGCTGTGTGAGTTTGAGCCTCACAATGCATGTGGAGGTTATTAAAAAAAAAATAATAAACTTAAAAAGAAAAACTTAAAAAAGATAGGAGAAACTTTGTTTTTATGTGCTCTCTCTTTAACCATATCTTTTTTGTGTGTTTGTTTATTTTGAGAGAGACAGAGACAGCATGAGGGAGGGAGGGGCAGAGTGAGAGGGAGAGACAGAGAATCCCAAGCAGGCTCCCCACTGTTAGCACAGTCTGACCTGGGGCTCGATCTCACGGACCATGAGCTCATGATCTGAGCGGAAGCCAAGAGTCGGCCGCTTAACCGACTGAGCCACCCAGGTGCCCCTAGAATTTGACTTAAAAAAAAAATTTTTTTTAACGTTTATTATTGAGAGACAGAGCATGAGCATGGGAGGGGCAGAGAGAGGAGGAGACAGAATTCGAAGCAGGCTCCAGGCTCTGAGCTGTCAGCACAGAGCCTGATTCGGGGCTCGGACTCACAAACCGCGAGATCATGACCTGAGGACGCTTAACAGACTGAGCCACTTGGCGACCCTAGAATTTGATGTTTAAACTTCTGATCCTTTCCCTCTTTCCCCACCAAAATAGTGT